GGGGGCACACTTTAATAAAAATTAATAGGAAGGACTAGTTTTATTTTGACCTCCCCTATACACTCCCGAGAGATTAGGAGGTACTTACCGGACACCCTGTATTTTGGAACAAGTATTATATTTTGAAATAGTCTATAATTGCTAAGTAGTTTTCTTTAACTTTTTTACACATATCTTTGTTCAGGAAAATTCTTTTAGGATTACGTGCTCCTAATATGCCCAGAATATTAAAAGGATATGATAAAACCTGTCGTTGAGAAGAAGGTATTGTTCTGAAAAAAATAAAACTCCTTAATTCTGTATATTATATGCTTGCAATGCGTTTTCGGTAAATATGTTGACTTGTACGAGGAAGATGGCTTATGAATATAAATATTAATTAAGTCTTTTCGTACCTTTAGAACGCGAAACTTGCGGTTGACTGACACTTAAATACAAAAATTTGCACTGGCCTTATTGGGATTAGAAGTTTCTAATAAACCAATTTTAATTAGTTAGTTTATTTATAATTTTATTAATAAATTATTATATTTAGAACAGAACAATAGAACAACAATTTTTTAAAATAATGGCTGATGGATCTCTCTAACAGTAAAAACAAAATAATTAAAATATGCCTTCAATAAAAAAATGTACCAAGATTTTGTTAGATATGTCACGCTCACACATTTTTTTGGCCATTGTAGAAAATTGAGGAAATTTTCACTCAAAATCAGCAAATGAGAATGTCAAAAGCTTATTCTAAATTAAATAAATAATTACCTAAATGAAAAATTGGACATATCTTTTTCATTAGAAGTACCAACCGGGAGTAAATGTACTTGTTCAATTTGCAAAATAACCAATGATGTCGAAATTCCAAGGTTCCCAATAATAGTCTCCGTCATTGATTGACATATTTGTAAACCAATTCAGTAGATTTTTGTCCATAATTATAACAGTTAAGTCACTAGCTCAAGATTCAATAATCTACATCAAACATATTAGAAAATATTTGAATAAATGTGATTCCTTGTATCTCAAAAACGAAGCGATCTAGGACACATATTTATAAGGTAATATTTATTTCATATAATGAGATCTTCTATAGTATAGACTGTTAAATTAAAGTTTGTCTACAAAAATTTGGCTCAACTTGTACACCTACAGGTTAGGTTATTTAAAAATATAATCTACCTAGTCATAACCGCACAAAATAGAGAAAAATAAATGAAGACGGTATTTCATTTGATCTGTGGACGACGAACTAACGTAATTGCAAAAGTATAAAAAATACCTGTAGGAAGTATCCTTGACCAGGATAGAGAAAATCGATAAAAATCAACGCCTAATTCTTTCAACATAGCCACATCTTCTTTGTACTTGTGATAAGAGTCACAAGCTACATCACCATTGTCGTTATTAACAACTATTTCAGGATGAGTGTGCGTATAACGATCCCAAATATTTTCACCTTTGCCGTCTTCATTCCATGCACCTAAAATAACGGATTTATTTTTATAATTAGAGAAAAATCTGAAAATAAGCATATGTTTTATTTCACTTTTCATGACGTCTAAATAGCTATAGGTACCTATATTATTTTTAATTATTTCGTTTTACTATTATATAAAAATAGTAAAATTATTATTAATATTTATGTAGAACATTTTTAGTTTTTAATAATTTTCGCTTTTTATACAGGGCCGCTTTTCATTTTGGAGCCCTATTTTCAAAATACAGGGTGTCAGAATTAAAATTTAAAAGATTATTTTTATTGATAACTCCGGTGATTGCAGATTTAGCACGTATTTTGATCTAACGGACCCCCTATTATTTTTTGAGTACACTTATGCTTTTTTAGATAAAGCGGCGTTTTATTTTATTATTTTCTCTTATATAAAATTTTTATTCAGAGCCTCGTTTACGAGATATTGTAACAATTTTTTATATGCGACATCAATTTAGTCAACGTTAGACTTTAATTTTTGGGAAAAAAATTCTTTTATATGATACCAATACTAACTAAACAACAACAGTTAAAGAAACGAATTGTACGAGGTAAAGAGCACTTTAAGCTGAAACTACATGTTTTGATTTGGGGCTTGCTGTACGAGATTTACAACTTTTTTAGATATGTTAGATTTAGCTCAAATTAAATATCGCTGTTCATGATGATGATCATTTCCATTTTATTCAATGAAGTGAATAAGACGACTCAAATTTTTCATATAACCTCAAAAAATAAAGTCTAACGTTGACTAAATCGATGTCGCGTATTCAAAAAAGTTACAGTATCTCGTAAAATAGGCCCCAAATGAAAATCCTGTAAAAGTGAAAAAATTAAAATAAAACGCCGCTTTATCTAAAAGAAATACTCGGAAAGCATAGGCGTACTCAAAAAAAATAGAGGGTCTATGGGTTCAGCAACCCCCTCCCCTCCATTCGCTCTTTGTTATTTTAAACCTAAATTACACAAAAAGTGTACCGACTTAAGGTCAAAATATGTTATCAATAAAAATCATTTTTAAGAAAAGTCTCATTATTTTATTCTAAAGAATATATAAGAGTTCACATACTAATTTGTAACACCCTGTATATTTAAACTTTGTCTCATATTCAAAAACAGATAAAATGAAAAGATCACCTGATGAGATGAGATGAGAAGATCACCTAATATCAAATCAGTTCAAAATATATTTGAATGTCATGGTATTGAATTTTTAAAGGAACCCCGATAAGCATAGTGTATAATTACATTTAGATGCTTGTATGGTCCATAATAATTGTTCATCAGGAGGTAGTTAGAAGATATGTAATACTAAATATATTTGTTTTATTTTTATTTTTTTTTGTAGTCAACTAATCTTAAAACAATAAAACTTACCCTCTACTTGATAGGCAGATGTGGCTGCACCAAATAGGAAGTCTTCAGGAAAAAGCTTATTATTAGTCTCATTCTGTGCTATGCTAAAAAAATGTTCAAATATCAAATTTATCGGTGATTATCACTGGCTTGTGTTCTCAAGCAATGTTTGAATATTCATTACTATTTCACGTCTTGGAACAGTTCAGTTAATTACTTTACCTGTAAGTAGATGGTGTGACAATGTGAGAATATTAAATATTATATTTTTAATTCAGATGGTTGGGCTTTGATTTCTGAAAAAGCAGTACAGCTATAAATGACATCTACTATGTGACTGCTTTAATAGATATTTTTTATTGAAATACTACAGAAACTAAAAGTTTACTTTGTAAGAGGATGTATTTTACAACTCACCTAATAGCAAACAAACAGCAAAATATAAAACCTCTGAGAGACATGTTTGATACTATTAAATGCTTCGGATTGTGGTCTATATATATGTGTCTTCATATTAATTTATTACAAACAAAATTTACAAGTGCTCTTAGTTTCAAGTAGCTTTTATACATAAAGCGACATTCCTCAGTTTCAAGTACCAAGCTTTCATACATTCATACAACGCAATTCCTTAAAGTGTAAAAATATGTATTTAAATTATTTTCAATAGTATTGACAAAATAATAAATACTGAAATTGATTAAATTGAATTGATTATTATCAAAACATATCTATTAGGTAATTATTCTTGGCAAGATTCCACCAAGCAACATGTTTCGACAACTTTCTTATAGTGAGCAACAGAATCCTTTCGTATCCTTGCGCGATTGGTATTACTGAAGTCTACATGGTAGATGCCGAATTCTTGACTAAAAATTAAAGTATTTAAATTTATTTTGTTTAGTTAACAATTTATACAGGGTGTTTCTAAAAGTCTGGGTATAATTCCATTACATATGCCTCGGGTCAAAATATGATGATCTAATCCAAGTTACTTTAGTTCTAAATTTAACATTGTCCGAGATATAGGTTGTTGAAGTTACAATTTTATTTTACTTTTCACTTCAGTAATAACACATACATAAAACTTCGTATGGAGGAGTTTTCTGACATCAGTAACTAAAATCTGGTATCGAATTATTAGAGAGCACCGCCTACAGTACTTTACATGCATTTAAATTGTCATAACCTTATGTGCCGTGGTGTACTGAATTTTTCTGATTCTCCGACATTTCTTCTAAAACAGGCATACTTGATAAATGCCGTTTTCAACTACCAGTTTTTGGATATTTGGATTTAAAAGTTTCATTTCATAAACTTAGCATTGCGTTTATATCCATTTTATCCAGGCTTAGGACAATTTTTTTTGTAATTTTTATTGTTTTTGGCCCGTTGGCTTCCGTACTCCTGTCGTTATTGACCAACAGATCTTTACATTTTTTATTGTCTTTTAAATATAAAAACACTTAGGTATGCAAAACGACATTAACCTTTTTTTTAGAAAAAACGTGGGAGATTAAAATGAGAATTTATACGTAAAGTACCGGTGACTAAAAAAAAACTAATTTACTGGTAAGTAGCTATAAAATTATTGACATATAAAAACTATTCAGGTGAAAAACAAAACGGAGATATATTTTTTGGAATAGAAAATAATTTTATGAAAGTAAAGGAAAATAATCAGTTCTAAAAATACCTACTTAAGCTGCTCCCTTCGTTTAAAAATTTAATTTTTTATTTTACATACTCATTGCAGCTTTATCAGTATATAATTTATTAATGAGAAAGAGAAAGAGTTTATATAACCAACAAAACTTTATTTCACTAAAAAACTAAACAATAATATAATTCAGTATACACATACGTGTATATGCATAAAAACGTTTAAAATAAACATTAATAAACAAAAAGTAATAAGTATTAAACCGTGCACAACACATGTATAAAAAAAGCTGGTGAAAACCAGAAAACTCAATTTATGTTTGATTTACTTTTCATATTGATTGCATGTAACCTACCATTTCAACAGTAAATTATAAAACATTTTATTCCTCCTGGAATAAATACATCCTCGAGTGAAAATTACCATGTCGTTCAAGCTTGGAAGTACATTATTTAATTATGAAAATATTACATCAGTAGATGTCGAACGGTCGTCCTCTTCAGAATGACCTCGAGACCTAATGCCGTACAAAAATAGTAATATCGAAAGCCAGGATAATTTTTGATTTTCTGAAAATTTTGGCCCGGTTTTTGGTGATTTACTACAGTACGACATTTATACTGCAAGTTTCGGATAGATACGTAGATAACTTTTTTAGTAACGCCGTACGTATCTGCTGATACAGGGGTTAAAAATGTTTCAAGTCATTGAAGAATGTTCGGTATCGATTCCATATGATTATTTAACTCTCCAAATAATTCTTAGCAACTATGCCGTCTAAAAAGTTTTATTTTTTTCGATGAGATCATTAATTCCTGTATGGCAACCACCTTTCTGATAAAATATAACCAAAAATTATCGTACTAAATCATGTCCGGTTATAATTAATAGTACAAATTAAAAAACAAATAAATATATTGTGAAAATTGACTTTTCATAGGTAAGTAAAAAAAAATAAAAAAAAAACGATGCCGTACATTTTTAACTAGTGGATTTTACATAGTTGATAATACGGCATTTACAAATTTTCATCAGAAATATAACATAAAGAATGAAAATTGCAATGCTGCACATATTCGTTGGAATAATTCTCCGAAGATGTAAAGTCCAAAATGAGTTTTATCCTAATTTCAAGAGAAATTTAATATACAGGGTTTTGAGATACAGCGCGTTAAAGTTTCCCGAAAAAAAATATATTTTTCGAATTTTTCTGTAGGTGATGAAGTTTCACCTGTAAGATTTTTATAAATGATTGGCACTGTACGTGTGATCTTTGGAGAATTTTTCAATTTTTTTACTTTACCAGTGACGGAGAAAATAGGGGTCTCCATTGCTTTAGTAAAAAATTATTAGTACGCCACTGGCTTTAAATTTAAAAAACAATATTTTTTGGATTCTCCGTTTAATTTGGGACAAAAAATTATCCTTGTAAGTTTTTCGTAACTATTATCATTTTCAAGTAAAATTTATTTATTATTACTATTACAATAGACCTACAAATTGCAGGTGAATTAACGACAATAAAATAATTACTGTATCAATTCAATAATCAATATTTAATAAAACTATTGAAAATAATTACAGCTGCATAACATCTAACGAAGTTGTTCGAAATGCCCGCCTGCTGCATTAATACACATTTCACATCTTCGTATTAAAGAATTTATCCCCGCGATGATTTCATGTGGCTTCTGCTTGAGATTATCACATGCGTCTATTATTCTTCTCTGCAACTGATTTCTGTCTTCAATTGGTACAGACTAAACATCATCTTTCAACGTACCCCATACATAGTAGTCGAGGGGGTTAAGATCTGGTGATCTAGGAGGCCAAGGCACCGGCCCCTCCACATTAAACAACAGTTCATATGGCAAACGTCCTATCCAGCGGTTCTGATAATTTGCATTCATCCAGTTACGAACTATTTGGCCAGTGTTGAGCTGGAGCTCCATCCATTTGGAACCAACTGCGATATCTTTGGTTTAAGGGAATATCTTCCAGTAATTGAATTGAGTTATTTTCCAGAAAATTAGCAAATGATACTTAATTTATCCTTGGAGGTAATACATAAGGTCCACAAATATTTCCACCTATCACACCTAACCAGATATTAAAACTAAATTCTTGCTGGTATGATCGGCGTCTCACTTCATGAGGATTTTCATGGGTCCAAATATGACTGTTGTGATAATTAAATGTGCCTCTTCTTGTAAAACATGCTTCATCGGTCCATAAAATATTTCGAATAAATTCATTGTTATACTGCCAACGGTTTAAAATCCAGCGACAAAAGCTTAACTTTTTTTCAGCATCTCCTGGATGTAGATCTTGTACGGGATTGAAGTGATATGCACGTTTACGGAAATTGCGATAGCAACGCCAAACAATCTTGAAGAATATCGAAGGCGTCTTACGATTTGAGAAACTCTCGACTTATCAGATTTTTATGTACACTTGTATTAGAATTAGGCAAATTATGTTTAGGCAAGTAAAACATAATAAATAATAAATTCGCATGGTAATATGTCCACGTTATTGTATAGAAATAAGTAAATAAATTTTACTTGAAAATGATAATAGTTACGAAAAACTTACAAGGATAATTTTTTGTCCCAAATTAAACGGAGAATTAAAAAAATATTGTTTTTTAATTTAAAGCCAGTGGCGTACTAATATTTTTTACTAAAGCAATGGAGACCCTATTTTCTCCGTCACTGGTAAAGTAAAAAAATTGAAAAATTCTCCAAAGATCATACGTACAGTGCCAAATCATTTATAAAAATCTTACGGGTGAAACCTCATAACCTACAGAAAAATTCGAAAAATATATTTTTTTTGGGAGACTTTAACGCGCTGTATCTCAAAAAGTAAACATTTGTCGGGTATAGTTTATTTAGCAAACTAACATTATTTTTTGATAATGTATTGGTTCTTGAAGTTTAATAAAAAAAGTGGACCACCCTGTATATACCGTAGAAATTATCTTTAAGATTAAAAAAATTGTGTATTAGAAATTTAATGACGTGCAAGTAAGTATTATTTTTAAATAAATATAATAATAAACGATTAATTTTCACTCAATATTCATGAGAATTCCTATATTAAATACTTACATTTAATATATATTTTGAAGTAACGGTACCCTCGCATTTGCATATTTGCAACTTCTATTAACATTTGTTTGAACAATTTATTTATGCGAAAATTGTGATAAAGCCATTGGCATACAATAAATGTTTAAAATTAGTAAAAATAATTTAAAACTGCAATTGTTGACAGAAACAACTTTGTTGTGGAAAAAAAATTAATATACAGGGTGGTCCTTAAGAAATTGTACATAGACGTATGGTAGGTTTGTGACTTTAAAATATTACGATTTGAGCCAACTTGCCTTAATAAAATATTGATAATGAGAAAGATACAGGGTGTTAAAAGTGAAATTTCAAAATTTATTTTTCGCAATAACTTAAACGTTTTTGGACATTTATACAAAAAAATTTTAAACTGGGGGTTTTTTGATATGGGAAATCATAATTTGGTATCTAATTTAATGTATCTTTTAGAGGGCGCCACATAAACCACATGTGTGGCATAAATCTACGCTAAACTTTTTTGCCTATCAAGGTAGCGCTTGGTAAAAAAATATTAAAGGCACAGCATTGTAAGAACAAAAATGCAACAAAAATACTTGTTAACAACCTCTAAACTTAACGGTTTTCGAGATAATCGAATTTTAAAAATCGGCTGCATAATTCTTCTTTAATTAATTACGAGAAATATTAATGTAGAAGTCGTATACGCTTATCATGTTTTTAAATCAACAGGATGAATATTAACGTAATAGTAGGAGTTGACGTCAAAAATTAAAAAAAATTATACATATTAAGAAAAGAAAAAACTAAGCTAACTAACATTACAAGTTTAATTATGTCAAAGTAAGTGTTCGATATGTCCACCATTCTCTTCGATGCATTTATCCATACGTTCCATAAAAGATGATCTCATATTAAATAACATGATTGGTCCAAAAGAAACTGCAGTTGCATTTATTTCTTCTCAAAGTTGGCTGCGAGTATTTATGGGACTTTTATAAACAAGCTGTTTCATTGCGCCCCATATGCCAAAATCGAGAGGATTAAAATCTGGGCTACGTGCTGGCCAAGGGAAATTACTACCACGCACAATTCAGCGTTCAGGAAAGTTGGTATTTAAATGTTCTGACTTCTCTCATATAATGAGGAGGTGCACCGTCTTGTATAATCCACATATTTTGCCTGAAATTTAGTGGCAATTCTTCCAAAAGATCAATGAAGTCATTTTGTAAAAAATGTAAGTAGTTCTCACCATTCAAAGTATGCGGGAAATCGTATGGCCCTAAAAAATGGTCACCAATGATCCCACACCATACATATATTTTGAATTCGTGTTGAAAATGTCTTTTTCTTTTAAAATGAGGATTTTCAATTTCCCAGATTAGATTATTTCTTAAATTAAAAATACCACGGCGGCTAAATGTTGCCTCGTCCGTAAATGATATTGTATTAATAAAGGTATGTGGGGTCAAGATTTTGCCTACTTCGGATATCACTTGCAAATTGGTATCTTAATGGTAGATCTGCTGGCAATAAAATTTTGCACAGGCGTAAAATGGTAGGGGTGATATTTATCGAGGTTTAGTCTTTTTAAAACTGAAGTTTTACTGATACTAACTTGAAGATCATCTGCAACGTGAACCAATTTCATCTTCTTGATCAGGCGTAATGATTCTCGGTCGGCCTAAAGTATCACGTTTAGGACGAAATGAACTACTTTCGCCTAAATTCTTAAATAGATTTTCAAATGTTTGGTGATTAGGTTGTAGCCTGTTTGGATATAGCTATTCTGAAATATTCCCATTTCGCAGCACGTCCGTTGAAATATTGCTGGCAGTAAATAGTAACCATATTTCTCATTTCTGTATTAGAAAAATTATTGTCTCGGCATTTTCTGCTATTCTTTAATTATCTGAAATATTCAATTAAAACTTTTTCAAACGTCATAGATCATGAAAACAAGAATGTTTAGCTGTTAAAATCATTCGTGACTTCCGTCTACTACGTTACTATTTCTCGTAATGAATTAAAGAATTATGCAGCCGATTTTTAAAATTCGATTATTTCGAAAACCGTTAAGTTTAGAGGTTGTTAACAAGTATACATTTTTGTTCTTACAATGCTGTGCCTTTAATAGTTTTTCCCAAAAGAGGGCTACCTTGATGGGCAAAAAAGTTTAGTGTACATTTATGCTACACATGTGGCTTATGTGGCGCCCTCTAAAAGATACATTAAATTAGATACCAAATTATGATTTCTGATACCAAAAAACCCCAGATAATTTATTTTTGTGTAAATGTAAAAAATTTTCAAGTTATTGCGAAAAATAAATTTTGAAATTTCACTTTTAACACCCTGTATCTTTCTTATTATCAATATTTTATTAAGGCAAGTTGGCTCAAATCGCAATATTTTAAAGTCACAAATCTACCATACTTCTATGTACAATTACTTAAGGACCACCCTGTATAAGCTTTTCAAATCTATAAAATTAATAATTTTTATATCGACATATGGTTTTTACTTTAAAAATTATTTTACATCTTAAATAATGTATTAGCAGCAATGCCGACCATTTTTCAATGATCGGAAACCATAAGGGTCAGAATATAGGGGTTTGCATCCAGGGTTGTTGTTCACTCCTGTATCGACAAATATGTACGGCATTACTGAAAAATATTTCTATATGATATTGTAAGTCTTATTATAGAAAGGCCGTACAGTCGTAAATAATTTGTATGAAGGAGAAAACAGTAGTAGAAATAAAATCAATTCTTGCAAGTAATACTTATTTGCAAAAATATATTTCAAGCCATTTAGAAGCATTTTTTTGTACGGTATTTTGTTTTTGTTGATTATTGTTGTCCGTATTAACAAAATATATTAATGCCGTACAAAAATTTTTCACCGTGAAATCCTACTTTTCAGAGGGAAATTAATTTTCCTATAGTAGGCACATGTTTCATGAAAAATGTATGGCATGGCCAAAAATGTCATTATTTTATAAAATAGAATTAAAATTAGTGAATTTGATGTTGGTTTAAATCATCCCCATACGCTATTTACAAATAGAAGGTTGCACCCTGTATTCCTAACCCCTGTATCAGCAAGTACGTACGGCATCACTTAAAAATTTATCTATGTATCAATCCGAAACTTGCAATATAAAGTACTGTATTGCTATTTTTGTACGGCATTATGTCGAGGTTCATTTTTTTTTTGTATAACCTTAATACCTTTGCCGAAAACCACCCCCCTTTGGTGGACAGGTTTAGTTTACCTGTGTACTCACCTGTATCAACAAGAATTGACGGCATAGTTTATAAAGTTATTGTTATATGTGGTAGTATTGATTTATAAGTAATTCGTGCTGGATCAAATGACTCCTTGAAAATTTCCGATGGGCTTGTAGTCTATATGACAAATTCTTCGTACACAAACTTTCAAAATACCAGTCAATTTACTTCTCCAAATACGGCTAACTGATTTTTCTGACAAACACTGTCATGAATGATATTTTATTAATTTATTTTATGAATATTTTATTTATTTATTTTATTTGCACTTTTTATAACGTATACATGTTGAAAAATATATAAAAATTTGATAAAATAAAAAAAAACAATTATTTTTATGGAGCTGCACATCTCTTAACGAGTATTTTTTTATAATTTTATAGTTTAGTTTATAAGTTTTATAATACCGAAATTGTCCCAGTGATCAATTTTTGAAGTGGGCTGGCGACAGTTCTCTTGTCTAAACTTTCTGATGCCTAAAAATTTCTATTAACTTGTCTCAAAGTTACAACAAATTCGTTTTTTTATCAACAAATTGTGAACTATTAAATCATTTTATACCGAAATGATACCAGCAACAAATGTTTTGAAAAACTGCTATTAAATTACGTATTTTAACGTCAAGGACGTAGTTAAAATTTTAACCTCCCATTGTTTAACCCAATACTGTATTCTATAAAATTTTAATGGGCTTATTTTAACCAAATATGTTAAAATTTAGCAAGACCAAAATAGATGCTATTAAAATTTAACCTGGCTTGAAAAATGGTATAATTGATCTCTATTATTTATAAACGTTATAATGACCCTCCAAATTAAATCATTCCAAGCTTTATTCGCGGCCACAATTTCATGTGGCTGCAATTTGTTGTTTAGCAAAATATTGTTGATTTCCAGAACCAGAAAGTCAACAATTAACTGAAACTGTTTTTTGGCATGCGCCCCACGCATCTTTTTTTCATCCACTATAACTCGACTAAATCACAAGAATCTTATAAATTGGTTACTAAAAGATAAACAAATTTGTAATAATACAGCAATCGGGGTTATATTATCACAAATACGTCTTTTACCTATAGATATATAAATATATTCTATGCTTTTACCTGACTGCTAACTTCACTAACACTGAAAAATTAACGTATGGCTGATACAATTATTTTAACTGGGTCGTTAAAGAAACTTATACAGAATACCAGTTGGAGTTATTATTTTTAGCGGTATGTATATGTATATAGTATAATATAATATANATATACAAAAAAATTTTAAACTGGGGGTTTTTTGATATGGGAAATCATAATTTGGTATCTAATTTAATGTATCTTTTAGAGGGCGCCACATAAACCACATGTGTGGCATAAATCTACGCTAAACTTTTTTGCCCATCAAGGTAGCGCTTGGGAAAAAATATTAAAGGCACGGCATTGTAAGAACAAAAATGCAACAAAAATACTTGTTAACAACCTCTAAACTTAACGGTTTTCGAGATAATCGAATTTTAAAAATCGGCTGCATAATTCTTCTTTAATTAATTACGAGAAATATTAATGTAGAAGTCGTATACGCTTATCATGTTTTTAAATCAACAGGATGAATATTAACATAATAGTAGGAGTTGACGTCAAAAGCTTAAGTGTATTATTTTTCTGATTACAAGATCAAAATTAGGTGTAAAACATTGAATTAAAATCAAGCAATTAACTGAACCTACCTCACAAGTAAAAAGCTTCGTTAAAAAAGGTGTGTTAAAAAATTGTGTGAAAATCTATGTGCCTAGTTTGTCGTTTTAGAGACCTATAATTTAGATTTTATTCAAATTTCAAAACTTTGTTAGAAACTGATTTGAGAAAACATACCTAAATATTTAAAAGTTCAAATATGTAGCAAACGATCATTTTGAGTACTACAGTTTTCTATAACTAGCATTGTTTAATTTAATTCTGATTTTGATTAATTTCAAATTTGTCAAATAATAAGTCACAAGGAAAGTTTTAATACATTATATGTTTTTAAGCAAGCAATTTGGGTTGGGGCGTATGCGATTAATTGGTTTTGTTTGACCAGAGGGTGCAAACTCTTAAAAGTTTTGCACCTGACGATGACCCATTCTGTATATTTTAATTTTTGATGAACATTGTGTGTATGTGTGTGTGTGTGTGTGTGTGTGTGTGTGTGTGTGTGTGTGTGTGTGTGAATTAGATAAGTCGGTAAGGTCGCTAAGAATAAAAGTTTTGTTAAAATTTTTGAAGTTCTGTATTATTTAATAAAAAAGGCAATGGCAATGTTTTAGTTTTAATTGAAAATATAAACTTTTGTCTATTCCTCACAAGTGTCTACCAAACAATGAGTCTCGGCAACCTTCTTGTAGTAAGCTGCAGAAGTTTTAGGTGTTCTCGTCCTGTTAATGCTGTCGAAGTCTACATGGTAGAGCCCGAATTTTTGTCTGAAAAGAGAAAACAATTAAAATAGTATAAATCATTGAATTGATTTTCATATTTTTTTCAGCATGAAACCAGTTACATTAACATTAAATCAGATTTAATTAAATAGTTATTTTATAAAATAGATAAATTGTATTTTATTTTGCAAAATTAACGTACAACTAAGACATTTAAAATAATTTTAAAGAAATATCCAAAAGCAGGTAACTCAGATTATCTAAGTCATGCATGCGTTTCAGATATAGTTTTTCCGATATCAATTGAAGAACCAACACATTCACAATATGTACCAGGTTCGGTCGCTGACGCAGCAACTCGGCATTGAAATATTTGAAAAACTTTCCCATATTTATTTAGCCATACCCATATACAGGTCTGGTGGAACTAAACGTGGAGGTGGTAGAAATGTATACGACCGGTTGAAGAATGCGAGCGCGGGCAAAGGAAAACAAAGACAGTTGCATTGGGTTACTGGGCAAAAAATCACAGCAGTTGACAAGTGGTTGATAAATTGCCCAGCAGTGCATTGCAGCAATGCGGAATTTGGTGTGATTTAGGTAATTTTAATTTATTATAGGCACCTTCTATTAATCATTCATATTACAATTGCGAAAGGGAGAAATAAGAGGGATATTTTGTTTACCAATATTATCACAACATGGCACTTTGGAGATCTTTTGAAACGGAACAAAACGAAATTTACCATCAATATAATAAAATTGTTTGTGGACATAAATGATTAAAATATGTTGTTGGCCAAATGAACATATAATAGAAATTTTCTGCAAATTATATACAAATTATTATAATTTTTTACCTTTAGCGGAAAACTTTTTTAGGGACGCCTATGAAACTCATTAAATTTGATTGCTCGGTTTTTTTATACACGTTCAACTGACTTCGGAAAGACTATACTATGTGTTTTTTACTTGTTATTTTTCGAGGAACTTCGTATATTTCTGAAAAAATTACCTTGATACACTGAAAGAAGTATCCAAATGTAAGTAAATATCAGATTTACTTACTTTTGGATACCTAAGGCATGCATGTATAGCAGATATTATATGTATTCCAAAAAAATTGCTTATTACTTTTCGATGAACTTACGTGTAACCCAGTCCCCATTCGAAGTTATCCATAAGACTCCATGCAGCGTAGCCAATTACATTCACTCCATCCTCTATAGCACTTCTTACATTGCTGAGATAATCCTACAATTAATCAGTGTCGATAAAATACTCTTAATTAAAAACGAATATTTGAAATTCCCCTACATTTTCAAATTTTAATTGTTTGTGATTGTTAGATTTTAGTACTTTTCTTCATCATTCTGTACGAACACTTAGAATAATAAAATAAGCATATTGTTTTAAATGCAGTAGACCTGACATTTCTCTTTGTTTTTTTATTTTTTTAGTAAAGAAAGTTTAGTAGCATAGGCAACATTACGTTTTATATTTTATGCAACTACATTGGAGCAGATCAATCTAATGTGCCAATGTATGAGAATCGACACAGTTTTAGAATTACCAAATAGATATATAACATAAATATATTACCCTGTAAAAACGAACTCTTTTAACGTCATCTATGACGGAACTATTATCAGGGATACCATTTTCTGTAACTATAATTGCTGGATTGTTGTAGGTTTCTTTCAACCAATTTAAAAATTTTCTTATACCCCATGGAGTTATCTAAATGACAAAGGAAAATATTTCACTACATCATTTTATAATAATAATAAATAATATTAACAATATACATATAGAACAAAGACCATATACCGTACTTTCACGGGAAANACTGACTTCGGAAAGACTATACTATGTGTTTTTTACTTGTTATTTTTCGAGGAACTTCGTATATTTCTGAAAAAATTACCTTGATACACTGAAAGAAGTATCCAAATGTAAGTAAATATCAGATTTACTTACTTTTGGATACCTAAGGCATGCATGTATAGCAGATATTATATGTATTCCAAAAAAATTGCTTATTACTTTTCGATGAACTTACGTGTAACCCAGTCCCCATTCGAAGTTATCCATAAGACTCCATGCAGCGTAGCCAATTACATTCACTCCATCCTCTATAGCACTTCTTACATTGCTGAGATAATCCTACAATTAATCAGTGTCGATAAAATACTCTTAATTAAAAACGAATATTTGAAATTCCCCTACATTTTCAAATTTTAATTGTTTGTGATTGTTAGATTTTAGTACTTTTCTTCATCATTCTGTACGAACACTTAGAATAATAAAATAAGCATATTGTTTTAAATGCAGTAGACCTGACATTTCTCTTTGTTTTTTTATTTTTTTAGTAAAGAAAGTTTAGTAGCATAGGCAACATTACGTTTTATATTTTATGCAACTACATTGGAGCAGATCAATCTAATGTGCCAATGTATGAGAATCGACACAGTTTTAGAATTACCAAATAGATATATAACATAAATATATTACCCTGTAAAAACGAACTCTTTTAACGTCATCTATGACGGAACTATTATCAGGGATACCATTTTCTGTAACTATAATTGCTGGATTGTTGTAGGTTTCTTTCAACCAATTTAAAAATTTTCTTATACCCCATGGAGTTATCTAAATGACAAAGGAAAATATTTCACTACATCATTTTATAATAATAATAAATAATATTAACAATATACATATAGAACAAAGACCATATACCGTACTTTCACGGGAAAACACTACACAGGGGGTGCGTCGGTCAAACTTGTGCGGCTTCAGCGGTGGAGATGTCGATCTCTGCGTACAACGCTATGGCGTACGTGTACGTGATAACATCAGTCATGTTGCAACACTACGTTTACACCCAGCGCTCCCCACCCTATCGAATTTACGAACCCGAACGCAGCTAATGTAGTACGGTGAAAGTACGGTATATGAATTGTCCATTGGATTATATTACTACAGATACTAGCTCTGAATCTTTTTTTTATGTACCAGTTTTTTAAAGCTGTCATTATAAACGAGTACCTATTTAATTTTTTTTAGAGTATTTCTAGTAATAAAAAAATACCTTGGAAGTAGATATGGAAGCTGATTCCCAGTCATCGGGCTGATAGCCATCAATTCCTAAGTCGTAGAAGTAACTTGGTTCCGCAATTGGAACTTCGTCCTTGGCTGCTGCTAGCATCGAAGTATACATATTAACACCCATGTAATCGAAAGTGCCGCTGATGTATGCAATTTCTTCGTCGGTGAATGCCGGAAGACGTGACTGTTTGAAACCTTCAGCTAAACTACGTTCTGCAATGCGAGTCTTCATTATTTCTGGGTAGTCGCTGTTATAGATAGGATTTGCATACCATCCAAACTAAAAAAATGTTTTCAAATGTAAATAGTTTTCAATTTCCCTTTATCCATAAATATTATGTATATCGTATTTCAGTGGTTTAAAATGAAACATACAAATGTGTAACCATCTAATTGTACTTACGTCGAATTGTAGTGCTCTCTCAGCAGCAACTAGATCTTCTTCACTGTCAGAAGCAGGTTCGTACCACATAGTATCAATAGTGATTGATACTTGTCCTAAAAACAATGATTATTGTTATATAATAAGAGCATATCTTGACATTGTATTGATTGCATCCTCAAATGCGATACATTTTATTATTTCCATCCCAACAAATGTTTGAGTCACAAAATGTTGGAAGATTTCTGTATTTTAAATCTACATAATATCATCTATTCGCTTTTTAATGAAATTAATACAGTACCTTGTTGTGTAGCCCTAAATTCTTGGTCATATATATGCCAAGCCTTAGCGTGAGCCTGGAGTATGTGGTGGGCACACATATAGTCTCCTAATCCTGTCAATTTAATTCCTGGAGCATTATACCCTAGGCCGTAACCTCCTATGCAAATTTGGTATGGTTCATTAAATGTCAGCCAGTATTTCACGTTGTCTCCAAAGAGTTCGAAGCATAGCCTTGCGTATTCAGCGAAAGCTTCTACTATGAACTCACTTGGCCATCCCCCGATATCCTGCAAGGGTTGTGGCAAGTCCCAGTGGTATATGGTGATCAGGGGTTCGATGCCGTTATCTTTCAATTCTTTGATTAAATTCTGGTAGTATGTCACCCCGGGAAGGTTAACTTTGTTCACAAATCCTAGAAATCACAATATAGATTTTTAGTCATTAATGAAATAAGATTTAATGTATGAATGCTAATATGCTGTTATTAATCAGTTGAATTCTTATAAATATTATCATGATATAAATACTAATGAATAGTAAAACGGATACAACCAAGAAATTAAAAGAATGTGCTAATAGCAAAATGCGAATTTAGATGATACCTAGTATTGCCCAGTCCACTCCATAGCATACTTTTACAACCATATCTCCTTGACTAATGATGGATGTTTTTCGGTTTTTTATAGATATAAGATGATGAATTGAAAGAAATATAGTTACTAAAGTATAAAAATACCTGTAGGAAGTATTCTTGACCAGGATAGTGAGAATCGATAAAAATCAACGCCTAATTCTTTCAACATAGCCACGTCTTCTTTGTACTTGTGATAGGAATCACAAGCTACATCACCAGTGTCATTATTAGCAATTAATTCAGGGCTTGAGTGTATATGGTGATCCCAAATATTTTCACCTTTGCCATCTTCATCCCATGCACCTAGAATAACGGATTTAATTTCGTTACTAAAGAAATACTTGAAAATATTGCTGGGATGGTCGTTCTCCATTTTCATATCCAAATAGACAATAATACATTTTAAATTTCAGTCATACAAAAATTTTAAAATGACAAAGTATGTAATCAGCATTTATGCTCATTGCCAATATACTTTTAATAAAACTTAGGTACTTTACCAATTCGTTAAAAACAGGTATCTTACCTGATTTTATCCATTATTTTTGACTCCTAAAGCCGATTTGCACTATATCTCAAATCATGTAACGCTACAATTGTACGAACAATTATATTATTTGGGCTCAACTAACGCTACTATTTGGCGCGGTCCTGGTGACACACTTCTTTTGCTACAATATTATGAATAAAGCATGAGCTGCCGTCGTATCACTGTAAGCAAGAACCGGTCACAGGAAAGTCATATTGCTGATTATTCTATGTATTTGTGCAAAGAACGATCCTCGAGGTGGATAAAAAATTAATTGAAGAAATTGTACATAACAAAGATCTGACCGATCAAACAAAAGTACAAGTATGTTGCGACATTATCATGCACTTTGTATTACCTAATTAATTGTACATATCCTCTTTAATTCATCTCTAACAATTTCAGTTCTTATCTTAAGCAAATAGATAACTATTCTGGTGATAACCACTCGTAATGTAGATTTTTTTGTCAAATAATATGAAATTTTATTGAAAATGTAGTGAAATGTATGTTTTGTCATAGGAAAATACTGAAAGAACTTCGTTTTATCGTCAGTAAATTCTTTATATAGAGTAAAATTCTCACATAGTTGCTTTTAAATATCGAGTGCCTTCTTTTCTTATTTTGCATTTCTTCTTCACATATTGCAATCGCAGTTAAATTGAGTTTAGAGAAATGTCTAAATGCCTCCAATGTTTACTTCTGGATACGATTCGCAATAGAATGCACTAAAAGTGCGTGTCACTTGAGCATCCAGTGTAAATACTGTTCAAAATTCTTTAACAAGAGTGTACTATAAGCATTCTGTGACCTGAGAGCCTAATTTGTATCGACTCTTTTATAGCTTCATTATGCTTTTGAAATAAAAAAGCGTGGCAGTTGAAAAAAAATGTTTCAGATATGTTTCTGTAATATATAAATCAAATTTCATAAACAATCTGATACAATCACAACTAATGTTATTTATGTCACAATAAATAAATTTACCTTCTACTTGATAAGAGGCTGTGGCTGCACCAAACATAAAATCTTTGGGGAAAAGTTTATTATTAGTTTCATCTTGTGCTATGCTAAAAAATATGTAAACATTATATATTGATCAATATTTGACACCACTAACTTGAGTTTTTACATACTGGACTGTAGTTCGCAAAGTAGTTGTTTTCCACAGTTCAAAAATGCATACCGTAAAAACATTCATATATTCTCTATGTATGCATTTTTGAAATATGTACCTACATAATATTCGCTACAGTATTCATTCAACATTCGAAACAGGAGTTACAACTTTTGAATTTTTATTATTATATCGCATTTTGTAACAGTTCTCTATATTTTATTTCACTATCAGTATACTAAATATAAATTTAATTTTTTAACATTTTTTAGATTCAAATTGTGTTTTTTATTTCAAAATACAAATGTTGTAATAGACATTTCTTAACAAAATATTGAATAATTTCTTACACATGCCCAAGTAAGTAAAGTGTTTGGGAACTCACCTAATAGCAAGCAAACAACAAAATATAAAACCTCTTACAGACATGATTAATGCAATTTATTCACTTAACACGTACCTTATATATATCATAACTTATTACGACTCATATTTTACAAGTACTCCTCAAATTGAAGTAGCTTTCGTAAGTACATAAAATGATAAGCTTGGAAATACTTCAGTAAGAAAAAGTATTGAATATTGATTACAATAATGACAACGTAGAATTAGTTTATTTGTGATATGTTTGAAGTACTAAAATTACTAAGCTCTTATCAAAACACTAGAGCTTAGTGACTAAGCCGGTGAATATTCCAGTCAAATTAGAGTTTAAACGTGAAAAAGTTCTTAGTACACATTTTATTGCATTTTATGACGGGGAAGGGTATATAGAATGATAATATCAAAAAAGTAACTCGAAAAGACGGTCAATCCAAAAACCAATATGTGTTCCAAAAGCCAATTCGATTCACCGTGAAATTGTTGCTCCAGGTATTTGTTAATTAATTCCGTTCGTTTTTTTCAACTAATTGTTTAATTACTAAACGTTAATTTTAGAAGTTACATAATATTGTTATAGGTCTAATCGATCCAAAGAAACGTATCGAAAAAGAAAAATTTAAAAAAGTTGAAATTAAGTAGTACTTTACAACTAACAAAGTAGGACGTGTAAAACAGTGTTATAGCCACTCGGGAATTCGCTCTCTTGGCATTAAATAGAGCATACTTTTTATGGTAATTAAAAAAAGGGAAATCGCCTACGCCTCTCTATTCCCAATATAACGTTTTTTATAACGTGTGCTGTTAATTAACTATTGGACGTATCGGGAAGGGATATTAGAGAGAATTAAAGAACGAGTTAAACTTTTATTTTCGGAAAGTTTTACATTAATAGTTGTAATATAATGTAATGTAATTTGTAAATTACAAATTTCTTTACACCAAAAAGTAATTTGAGTTTCAAACTGACTCCATTTAATAGAAAATCTGCGATAGAATGGAGGAAAGTCTGTTATTTGTGCATTAATTTAGAGAAACTGTGTAATAAAATCTATAAAAATGTATTGCTGGTTGCCTATTTGCTATAGAGGCCTCTTAACCTGGTGTAGAAATCCTTTTTAAACATAGTTTATAACAGATATAAGGCAAAAATTGTAACCTGTTCATGCTTCGATTTCAAATAAAAAAGTCTTATGATTATATTGAAGTCTGTAGGTATGTACCAACTAAAGCTATAGGATCATTTACATAACATTCTACCACTCATCTACCCTTTTATGCAGAAAAAATGGTACACATAAATTTTAAACTTGTTCTTTGTTCAGAACACATTGGAGTTGTTATACAACGTCTTTAAGAGTATAGAATTTTTTTTAAATAAAATATTTATAGATCGGTTTAGTATATTTGATAACGGAAAAGTATAAATATGCAATGGTTCCATGACAATCTTGACTTTTCTATTGTACAGCCTCGCTAAATAATAATATTTATTTACGGATCAGGTAGTAGGTAACAAAATATGTTTCATAAAGTAAAATAATTACAGTAAATAAATAAGCAAAACCCAAGAAGATCAATCTTTGTGTTTGGAACTAATTGATAAGTAAATTTTTTCTTAAGTCTAAATAGGTACTAAATTTAAGATACATATGAGACATAATAAAAACATGAATACATGAAAATGATATACAATTTACAGATATAAAATAACAATATTAAAATAACACAATCTAAAAAACAGAAAAAACTAAAAATAAATAAAAATATTGCGCAAATTATTAAAGCAAATATGTGATATGTAAAGGGTGTCCCAAAATTCACGCAAAAAGTAATTTTGATAGAAAACACAGTTTTTTAATTAAAAATTGTGAATTTTTTAATTAAAATTAAGTTTAGAGTTATATGTAGAGGGTAGTCCGAATTTTATGCAGGAATCTTCGAGGGCACACATATCTCTTTGAAATAATAGATGTTTGCCTTATAAACATAAATCTGGAACGGTTTTGTTTTAGAGAAAAAGGGTTTTGAAGTTGTTCAAAAAAATTGATTTTTTGTTGATACAGGGTGTCCCGTTCATGTTTCAAAAAAACTTGTGTGCAAGTTCTTTGTGGAAAAATAATAGGGGTAGTTCATGTAAAGTTTTTTCTTAGATGCTTTGTTTTCGAGATACAGTGTGTTGAATTGGTTACTTTCCAGATGGTTTTCCTTAATTAACTTTAAATCGGCTAAAGATAAAAATGTCAAAATTTGTAAACGAGTAAACATCAACTGTGCGTTAAGAATAATGGGCAAACGGTTTCTTACTGAAAAGCAGTGTCGTCGATACAGATAGTTACCTGTATCCCTCCAGTATCCCCTCCTGTATCCCCTCCAGTTGAGGGGTACAATCGAAAAAAAATATGTTAAAGGTCAAAATTTATTACATTTCTAAACGGCTCTGTAAACTCTAAAGCATACTACAAAAAAAAGGTATACTTGTCGAAATTCGGTAGCATGTACCATTTTGGAGTAGAGTAAACTTTACTTTTCAGATAACTCCAAATATAGAAGTTAAGAGGGTTTAGATCTGACAATCTAGCTAGCGAAGATACTGAACCCTCCGCATCATTATGGTTGACATTGGTATTTGGTCTTCGGTCTACCCATCGCCCCATATAATTTTCATTAAGCCATTGTTGTATTATTTTCTCAGAATGCACAGGAGCACCATCCATTTGTACTACTGCTACTTTTTCGTATATTTAACAGAATACCGTCTAATAATACAAATATAAGGTTTTCTAGAAAGTTAGAAATGACTGGGAATTTAGACGCGGTGGCAAGAAGAAAGATCCTCAAACTTTATTGCGAGTCACACAAAATTCTTGTTGAAAAGATCTTGTCCGAATTTCACGAAGATTTTCTTGTAACTAAATATGCAGATTGTGAAAATTTACTATCCCCCACCTTGTGAACGTAGTTTGATTGGTCCAAAGTATTTCTAGTAAGAATTCTAGAATATATTGTGACTTGTTTAACAACCACTGACAAAAAATCAGGTCACTCTCTGCATCTCCTGGAAGTAAATGGTACGAATTTCTGCCATTCTTATGTAGAACTCTTAAAATTTTCGATTTACTCACCCCAAGTTGCCGAGACGCTCACCAAAACAGATGAGAGCGACGAGTGTAAAGAATTTTATTGATGTGCTTACAAATTATACTTACTTTTAAGCATAACATAAATATTCTTGTAATATTATTATGATTAGAAGTGTCTGTCACAAGGGGACTTGTATTGGTATGAATAACTTGAGATCGGCCAATCTTAGGAAAAAAATTCCAGTTACCATTTTTATGTACTTTGAGCATTAGAATATAAATCCGTAACAATAACTTGTAAAAAATACAGTAGCATAGGTTTTTCCATGTAAAAAGTGGTGACCGCTGTCCAGTTGTACACCACTGGTTGAACCTTTAGCGCTCATATTAGGGAAATCAAGACTTGCTATCATATATTATCTGTACCAAATTCTATTGAGATCAGTTAATAGATTCCGGAGATATAAACAGAAAATAATTTTTAACACAGTTATTAGGGTACTCAAGTCAATTTAAATTGTAATTTTAAACCATTATTTAAGTATCTTTGGGAATCTCATTAATTCACATCTGATATTTTGTTATTAGTATATTGGTAGTTTTACTTTAAAAATTTTTTGTTTTCATTTAGTTGGTAATCCGTAGAATTGTAGAATGTCAATTTTCAATCTCATTTAACATTTAACCTCACTTTATTTCACTCTACGTGTTCGACATTGTTAGTCAATTTCTATTTCTTTCTCGTGTTATTTACCAGTAATTGATGTTATATTTAATGTTGTATATTGTTATGTCGAACTTATTAAGATTTTCAACGTTTCCTAAATATTTTTTGGTATCTAAAATTTAACGTAAGTAAAAAAATTTTTTGCTTTATATAATGTCATTTCAACCTCTTGTTGATATTTTAGGAATAGCTCCGATGATGACTATGTAGTCGAAAGCGCTCAGCTAAGATTTTAATAAAAAAAAATTTTATACACACTTTAACATACAAATTTCTTTGGCTTTTCTTTTAATCACCGAAGTGTGTACTCAAGATACAGTCGTTATTTTTTAAAAATAAAGATGTTTATAAATGTTCGAAATCCAGGCTATTATTTTCAATACAGAAATTCAACCTTCACTGTGTGCTTAGGTGGATTGTTTCATAAACGCATTTAGTTTCGGTAATTAAATGTCCTTTCGTTAGCTTCGTGTTCCTCAATTCCTTGCATTATTTAATTAGCGAATAACTTGATAACAAAAAAATATATCGAACCCTTTTTGGCATCAAAATGTATCTATTTTTATGCTCTTCAAACTAACCTATAAAATAAACAACACTTTCGTTGAAAATGTCAAACTTATACTATATCCATCAATTTATTGTGCTGAATTTATTTATAAAAGTAAAACTGTAGCATTGCATTTAAAATTTTTGAGAAAAATCCATAAAACGGCATTCTTTTGAAATAACGCCATCTACAGGTTTCCATATTGAGGTAAATGATATTTCGCATTCACCTCGATAAAGCATGAATAGACCTTTCCAACGAGGTATAACATTATGGGCTTTTGATGAGCCAATCCTTAAACAAATGCGATTTTCTGATCAGACATTAGGGGATTCCTCCACCCTTTCTAACGAGATATAACAAAATGTCAATAACAAAAGTTATGCGCAATTAATCCGGCTATCCATATTTGTAATATTTAATATAACTGAATAGGAAACATTTCTGGTAGTCCAGGCGGTATCTGTTTTAAAAAGGGTATACTTGGGTAAAACGCATATGATCGGAGATTTTTGCTTTAACGGCTTCAAAATAACATCAGAAATGATAATTTTTCTATGCAAATAAAAAAAACGTGCTTAATTTTTATTGCAAAAAAGTATAAAAAACTAGCAAAAAAATTCATTTTTTTCTTGGATTTCTCGTCGACAACTTAGCAACTATTCATTTTAGACAAAAATGGAAAAAGGAAAAAAGTTTTGTAATTAAATTTTGATCAAGAAAGAGTTAGTTGCAATTCGAAAAAATAATTATTGTTATTGCAAAAATCGGAAAAATCATTTAAAGAATTGCAAAAAATGCTAGGTTATTTGTCAATTTTTTTCAGACACTTGAATAATACCTAGGATCTTCATACTTTTCCCAATTAAACTTCTTAGTGCATAGAATCATCACACCAAATTTCATTCAATTCGGTTCGATAGTTTTTGCATAATACCTAATTGTTTAATTTTTTTTCAATTAAAAAATTTTCAAAATCAAATTTCTAAAAATCTAAGGCCTTCGAATACTTGAAAATTTCACCACAAAAAGGAGAACTCTCAAGCTTATAAAATTATATTTTACTTTCCATTAATCGAAATTTTATTTACACAATTTTCACTTCAATTAATTAAATTTTTAATTTTACTTCGTTTTCATACTTTGAAAGGTTGCTAAGAATTTTTAAATATTTAAAGGTATAATGCAGGGATATAATGACGTATTATAATCTAATTTCAAAATATTTATAAAATTCTACGGATTTTTTTTAACTAAAACTATATATTGCTTTTTTAGTTTTATTTGAAAGTAACTACAAAACAACATATCTAAATATTTGTTTATTCCTCACAAGTATCTACTAAGCAATGGGTCTCGACAACTTTCTTATAGTAAGCCACAGAAATTTTGGGCGTCCTAGTCCTATTAATGTCGTCAAAATCTACATGGAAGAGCCCGAATTTTTGCCTGAAAAGAGAAAATTTGTTATATTGCACAAAATTATTGATACCTATACTGTTTATTTTAGAAATTAAAATAGTATAAATTATCGAGTTTTAATTTTATGCAGTTATTTTATAAAATAAGTGGTATTTCGTTTTGTAAATTTAATATAAATACTGAGAAAATTAAAATTTCAAATAGATGAAGTAATACTGAATTATAAACATTAAGATTTTGGGTGTATTGGTAAAAATATTCGAAAGTAGGCATTTTTAACTACAAATTATATCTGTTACAATCACTTGCAGTATGTATGTATATATGTCGGAGGGGTGGTGGAATTGTTTTCCACCGCGGAACTTAGGCCTTATTAGGCCCCTTGTATACCCTCCTTCATTACTCGAGTACTTACTTTTCTTCAAACCATCCTATTTTACTTCACGGATGGCTTGGTGGCAAAGTTTCGTACAGTTTATGTATGATAGCATGGTCTTGAGTTACAGAGATTTTCTTGCTCTGTTCATCGGGGACAACACGCGTGCGGCAAATGTTGGGCGACCCAGGTCTCTGGTAGGCTGCCACAGCCATGTCCCCGAGCCTGGCCGTAGGTCACTCATCCAAATTCCAGCCCACGTCCGTGATGTTTGCCTCGGCAGATCGAAATCCGCCGGCCAAGACACCCGGCTAGGCGGTCCCCAATCACTTGTAGTACCTACTTGTAATTGTTATGATTCAAACAACTTACGTGTAACCCTGTCGCCACTCGAGGTTATCCATAAGACTCCATGCAGTGTAGCCAATTACATTCACTCCATCCTCCATAGCACTTCTTACATTGCTGAGATAATCCTACAATTGATTAATGTCGATAAAATAAATTCAAAGCGATCATTTGAAATAGGTTAAAAGTATACCGCTCCCTTCCAAACAAACATGACATATTTTGTTTGGTACATTTTAGAGAATCCGATGCCAATGTCACATTTTTGAATTTAGTTTTGAAGGGATGAATCTAATTTCGTGAAATGTGTGAAAATCAGGCAAAATACCGATTTTCAACGATTTATTATTGTGAATTAAATTTATTACCCGGTAAAAACGGACTCTCTGCTCATCTTCTAAGGTGGAACCGTCATCGGTGACACCATTCTCTGTAATTATAATTGCTGGATTGTTGTATGTCTCCTTCAACCAGTTTAAAAGTTTTCTGATTCCCCATGGAGTAATCTAGATTTGTAAAGAAAAATATCTCATTAGAATTACGTTAGATAAACGAAAATATTAATGAAAGCAATAATACATTTTTATTTACTACGCTACAAATGAGAAATCTATTTTCTATTGCGTTGTAATAAGAAAATGTATTGGATATTAACTATATCTACTCCTATATCATGTACGAAAATAATTAGTTTACTGTTTAGTTTTTGTAAGCCATTATTAAAGAAAGAAATACCTTCAACCAATAAATGGAGCACGACTCCCAATCATCTGACTGGGAGCTCTTAATACCCATATCATAATTGTAATTTGGTTCTCCCACTGGTACTTCGTCCACAGCTTCTACTAGGATCGAAGTATACATATTAATACCCATGTAATCGAAAGTGCCGCTAATGTAGGAGATTTCTTCGTCTGTGAATGATGGAAGACGGGACTGGTTGAAGCCTTCAGCTAAACTACGTTCTGCAATGCGAGTCTTCATTATTTCTGGGTAGTCGCTGTTATAAATGGCATTTGCGTACCATCCATACTAGAAAGACATTTGATTGATTAATGTATACTGCAGATATTTAAAACGTTTAATTTGATAAAAGTGATTCAGTCATTAGGCAACCATGCACCGGCAGTTTATTTAAAGGATTAGATTCTTCCTGGAACAAACTGATTATTGTCCGCGTGAACAAATTTAGTTGAGAATCGAATCCGATTTGATGTGAATCAACAACTTAAATAAGCGAATTTGATCGATTCCACAAGTACACTGAGGTATTAATTTTAGAACATAACTATGTGCAGTCCCTAGTAAAACACAAATAAAAAAAATGTTACATTTGTAATATATTTTTACTATCTTTGAATTCGTTAATATTCAATTCTTTGAATAAATCGATGTGGTTAAACTTATTTCCATTAAGACTCATTTTCTTAAATCCATTTTGAACATGCATCTTTTATGGATAAGATTGTCAGACAACCATCTGCGTTCCAAGAGTTGCAGTTATAATTACTCCTTCCCCTCCCCCTCCTTGTGTACCTAGGTATAAGCACACAAACTTTTTCAAAGGATCGGAGGAACTTCTTCAAAGGAACTACTTACTTCAAAACTGCGGAATAATCTGTTAATAATTTCCATTTAAGGATTAGGCTCGTTAAAATCATTTGCCTTATGAATTGGTGAATCGTTTAGCAGACTGAATCTAATAATCCCAGAAAGACTTTCTTTGAGGTGTCCCAAACCCAAATCAGTAAAAATTACAAAAATCACAACATGGCTATCCAAGATATTGAAGTACAAAGTTTTTTGCAAATATCTCGCGTTCCATGCATCGGAGATCCATAACATCAAGATTGGTGCTTGCTTCAGAGCATTCAAGTCCGATTTTTCTGCAACCATACCTTGCGTTACAACCTTTTCGGTAATTGCAGAATATACCAGTTTTGCAGATCATTTAATTCTCTACAACTTTTAAAATAACTTCATGGACGTCCGATGCATAGGAAGCGGGATATTCACGAAAAAGCGTCTTCTTTGGAAATTTGATTTTGAATATCTCGAAACGGGAGTTTATGGATGTCCGATGCATAAAACGCAAGATATTTGCAAAAAACCTTGACCTTCAATATCTTGTGTAGTCATATTGTGATTTTTGTGAATTTTGCGGATTTGGGTTTGGGAGACCTCATATGATTTAATGATAAAGTTGTCCTCAAAACAACAATTATAAAATTTGTAATTTGTATAATCATGTAATTGTTTGAACTTACAGTGAATTGTAATGCTTTTTCAGCTGCAGCGACATCTTCTTCACTGTCGGTAGCAGGTTCACACCACATAGTATCAATAGTGATTGATACTTGTCCTGAAAATAATAATTATTGTATTTTAAAAATAACGAATCTATTAATAACAAAAAAGAAATAATATAAGGTAAGGTACGCTAAGGTAAGGCAATAGTATAAGGTAAGATAAGATAACAATATAAAGTAAGGTAAGTTAATAATATAAGGAACCTAACCTAAAACTCCTTTTAGTGAAGATAAAATAAGAATTCCTCATCGTCTCGATTGAATCAACAAATTTCATTTAAACATTATCATCCTCAGATTACATAGCTTTATCTAACAATATATTACTTTGTCTTCTGTTAGTGGTCTACATTATATTGATATCACATCTCTTTAGTTTATAGATAATATTTAACACGAATTTTGAAAACTACATAATGACTCGTCTATACCTTTTGAAACAACTACCCTCAGAGAACAAGCTAATAAACATTTTCTAAACATTTGAATGTTCTAATATAAAAAATATGTTGCAGATATTGAAATAAATTAGATTAATTAAATATCTTAATTATTATTATAGTATTATTAGTACTAGTACCATTTTGCGTAGTTCTAAATTCTTGGTCATATATATGCCAAGCCCTAGCATGGGCCTTGAGTACATGATGAGCACATATATATTCCCCTAATCCTGGCGATGCAATTCCTGGGGCAGTAGATCCTTGGCCATAACCATCTAAACAAGTTTGTTTGGGTTCGTTAAAAGTTAACCAGTATTTCACGTCGTCTCCAAAGAGTTCGAAGGATAGCCTCGCGTATTCTGCGAAAGCTTCCACTACGAACTCACTTGTCCATCCTCCTAAGTCCTGTAACGGTTGCGGCAGGTCCCAGTGGTATAAGGTGATCAGGGGCTCGATGCCGTTGTCTTTTAGTTCTTTGATTAGGTTCTTGTAGTACGTTACTCCGGGAAGATTTATTTTATTTACAAACCCTAAAAATTATAACATTTCGTTTATAAGAAGTTGGTACTGTTCTGAAAAAGATAATGTTCCTGAATTCTGTGTATTATATGCTTCCAATACGTTTTCGATGAATGTGTTGACTTGTATGACGAAGATGGCTTATGAATACAAAAATTAATTAAGCCTATGTTTAGAACTTTTTGTAATATATCTCGAAACTTGCACTGACACTTAAATACAAAAATTTGGACTGGCCTTATTTGGATTACAAGCTTCTAATAAACCAATTTTAATTACCTAGTTTGTTTATTTGCATTTCCACGCTATATTTTAAAACAAAATGATATTCATTTTGATAAAACAATTTTTTAAAATAATGTAAAGACGGATCTCTCTAACAATAAAAACAATATAATTAAAATGTGCCTTTAATAAAAAAAAAGTGCCTACCAAGATTTTGTTAGATATGTCACACTCACAACACATTATTTTTTGTCCAGTGTAGAAAAATGAGGAAAATTTAACTCAAAATCAGCGAATAAAAATGTCATAGGCTTATTCCAAATTAAAAACTCTCCTATCTCCGTCATTGATTGACATATTCAGTAGATTTCTGTCCATATTTATGGCAGTTAAGTCACTAGCGTAAGGTTCAACAATCTAGACAAACATCTTACAAAATATTTGAATAATTGTGATTTTTTGTTTCTTAGACATAAACACAGCAACCATACAAAATAGAGATAAAATAAATGAAGATGGTATTTTATTTGATCTGTATACGACGAACAAATGTAATTGCTAAAGTATAAAAAATACCTGTAGGAAGTATCCTTGACCAGGATAGAGAAAATCGATAATAATCAACACCTAATTCTTTCAACATAGCCACGTCTTCTTTGTACTTGTGATAGGAATCACAAGCTACATCTCCTGTGTCGTTATTAGCAATTAATTCAGGATGAGTGTGCGTATAGCGATCCCAAATATTTTCACCTTTGCCATCTTCATCCCATGCACCTAAAATAACAGATTTCTTCTTTATAACTAGATAAATATTAGAAAATAATGATATAATGTTTTATTTCACTTTTCATAAGATTTAAATAGCCATATATTATTTTGTTTTACTTTTATACAAAAATTGTAAAAGGAGCCCTGACTAGCATAGTGTATAATAACATTTAAATGCTTATAAGATCTATTATTTAAAATAAATTGTTCATCAGGAGGTAACTCTAAATATATTTGCTTTATTTTTCCTTGTTTATAGTCAACTGATCTTATAATAATAAAACTTACCTTCTATTTGATAGGAAGCTGTGGCTGCACCAAACAGGAAGTGTTCGGGAAAAAGCTTATTATTAGTCTCATCCTGTGCTATGCTAAAAAAAAGTTTAAATATCAAATTGATCGGTGATTATCACTGGCTTGGGATCCCAAGCAACGTTTGAATATTCAAAACTATCCCACGTTTTGGGACAGTTCAGTTAATTATTCTACTTGTACAAAATGGTGTTTCAATGTGAGAATTTTAAATACAGGAATTATATTTTTTATTCAAATGGTTGTGCTTTGTTTGCTGAAAAAGCAGTAGAGCTTAAAATGATGTCTATTATGAGACTGCTATAATAAATATTTTTTGACTGAAATAATTAAAAGTTTAAGTAAATGCATGTATTTTGCGAACTCACCTAATAACAAACAAGCAGCAAAATATAAAACCTCCGAGAAACATGTTTGATGCTATTAAATGTTTCAGATTGTGGTCTATATGTTATGTATGTCCAAATTACTTTATTACAAATATTTTACAAGTGCTCTCAGTTTCAAGTACCAATATTTCATACATAAAATGGTAATTATTCCTTAAAAGTGTAAAAATGTAGAGTATCTGAATTACTTACAAAAACATTGACAAAGCAGGATTATTTATCTTATAAGTGCTGAATCGATTGAATTGAATTGATTATCAAAACAACGTGAATTATAGATTAAAGACAATAAATAGAGAGTAAGTTTAGCAAAGTGATGGAAAATATTGTTTGTTCTAATACCGAATTTATAAAATTTAAATTTTAAAATTTTTGTATTGCAGAGAAAATAATATATACGGTTCAGTCCAGTGGTATAAGGTGATCACGGGCTCGATGCCGTTGTCTTTTAGTTCTTTGATTAGGTTCTAACATCTAATTTATAAAATTTATATTTTAAAATTTTTTGTATTGTAGAGAAAATTATATACAGGGTGGTTCGAATTTTATGCAGGAAACTTCGAGGGCAGATAGATCTCTTTAAAATAATAGGTGTTTGCCTTATAAACATAGATCTGGAACAGCCTCGTTTTTGAGATACAGGGTGTTGAAATTGTTAAAAAAATGATTTTTTGTTTATATCTCCGGAGTCTATTAATCGATCTCAATAAAATTTGGTACAGGTAATGTGTGATAGTACGCCTTACATTCCCTAAAATATGAGCTATAAAGGTTCAACCAGTGGTGTACAACTGGACAGGGGTCGCCCTCTTTTTATAAAAAAAAACTACACCACTGTATTTTTTACAAGTTATTGTAACGGATTTATATTCTAATGCACTAAATACGTAAAAAAGGTAACTTGAATTTTTTCCCTAAGATTCACGGTTCTCAAGTTATTCATACCAATACAATCCCCTTGTGGCAGATACTTCAAACCATAATATTACAAGAATATTTATGTTTATGCTTATAAGTAAGTGCAATTTGTAAGCAGATCAACAAAATTATTTCCACATCACCTGTGAGGTAGTGTTCCTAGTGTGTTTTAGTTTCTCCTGGAGGCTTAATCCACTATCTTTACAAATAAGAACAATTTAAATGAAAATAATAATAAAAATACATTTACCAAGCAACGACAATTAAACAAGAAATGAAATTAACGTTACGTATTTGCAGCAATTGTTCAAAATGCGAACCATCCACATCGATACATTTCTGACAATTTCTATTAATGATTAATGGAATTACCTAACTAATATCATGTGGTGGTTTTCTTTTAATTCATTACACCCCTCTTCTATTCGCTGCAGTAGTTGTGGTGGAGTAGAGTAAACTTTACTTTTCAGATAGGTAACCCCAAACGTAGAAGTCCAGGGGGTTTAGATCTGGCGATTTGGCTGGCCAAGAGACTGGATTCTCTGCACCATTATGGTTGACATTGGCATTTGGTCTTCAACCTATCCATCGCCCCATATAATTTTTAAGCCATTATTGTATTATTCTCCTAAAATGCGCAGGAGCACCATCCATTTGTATCCAGCTATTTTGTGGTATATTTAATGGAACATCCTCTAATAATTCAAATAGATGGTTTTCTAGAAAGTTTAGAAATGCTGGGAATTTAGATGGGGTGACAAGAAATAAAGTCCGAATTATTCCGAGCCAGAAAATTCGTTGAAAAGATCTTATCCGAATTTCACGAGGATTTTCTTGTGACCAAATATTGTGAAAATTCACTACCCCTCGCCTTGTGAACGTAGCCTCATCGGTCCAAAGTATTTCTAGTAAGAATTCTGGATTATGTTGTGACTTTAAAACAACCACTAACAAAAATTCAGGTGTGTCTACATCTCCCGGAAGTAAATTTTGCACAGGTTGTAAATAGTACGGATTTCTACCATCCTTATGTAGAACTTTTCAAATTTTCGATTTACTCACCCCAATGTTCTTAAAATTTCATTTCTGTGTCTTTCATTGAGCCGTCGTGATTTTCCAAATATCGTTTTAATCCAAAAGATGAAAGCGACGAGTGTAAAGAATTTTGTTGATGTGCTTACAAATTGCACTTACTTTTAAGCATAAACATAAATATTCTTGTAATATTATGGTTAGAAGTATCCGCCACAAGGAGATTGTATTCGTATGAATAACTTGAGAACGGTGAACTTTAGGGAAAAAATTCACGTTACCTTTTTTACGTATTTTGTACATTAGAATATAAATCCGTTACAATAGATTGTAAAAAATACAGTGGCGTAGGTTTTTTTTATAAAAAAAGGGTGACCCTGTCCAGTTGTACACCACTGGTAGATCCTTTAGAGCTCATATTTTAGAGAATGCAAGGCCTACTGTCATCCATTATCTGTACCAAATTTTGTTCAGATCGGTTAATAGATTCCGGAGATATAAACAAAAAATTAATTTTTTTTAACAACTTCAACACCCTGTATCTCTAAAACGAGGCCGTTCCAGACCTATGTTTATAAGGCAAACACCTATTATTTTAAAGAGATCTATCAGCCCTGGAAGTTTCCTGCATAAAATTCGGACCACCCTGTATACGGTTCAGTATCATTTTTGGCGTTTGGGTAATATCTAATAAATTTAATAAATTCAAATTTATTGCATACATTAGGATATTATAGTCCAGTCTGTTCGGGATGAATGTTTTATATGTATAGGAACGCTAATTTTTGTTGAAAATAGTTCTAAATATTATGTAAAATGATAATTGCGATATGCGCCCGCTGAAAAATTTGTGGATAATTGTTAACGCAAGAAAATGTATAAAAATAAAAAAGGTGCAATTTTCTCCCTTCTTTCATGTATAACTCGGAGAATATTGACATTAGAGAAAATAGTCAAAGGAAAAAAAGTTTTTTTTTGAGATTCTCTTCGAAATAAAAGTAGCCCGAAATTTTTATGTGCATTATTGTTTCTGCAATACGGAATAGACCAAAAAAAAAATTCGTGAGCAGCTAGTGAATTATGCTGCTCCGCTCGCATAGTCCCCCTACTCCACACTCTTTGACTCCCTGCTCGGTTCCTGTGGAATGTGTCAATCTTTTTTCAATTTTCATAGTTATAAAGTCTTTGCGTCAAACAAACAAAATCACTTTTGATTGTTATCGTACAGTACGTTGTTTTGCCGTAAACTCGCTTCAACTTTGAGCTTTCATATCTCGATGACGATTCATCGTATCCACAAGATTCAAAAGTGAATTTTGTTCGTCCATGCTTCCTCTATTTGATCCTATAATTACATTTGAAGAATATGCAAATATGGTAGCTATAGCTCTAAATGTTTATAAGTATTTTTTCGAAGAAATTTTGAAAAAATTCTTTCTAAAATGGACAAAATCGAAAATTTTTAAATGGAGATTGATAGTTGAGACTCCAAAGGTTATTGGTTTTACCGTAAGAAGAATTGAAAAATAAGTGAAATTCTGTATTTTCTTAATTAACAATTGAATTGTGTGAAATCCACCAGGACGATTTCGATTAAAAAATTTCTGCAATACTACTATATCATGAAGTACTCAGAACCATACTTTTTATATGGCTGCTCTAAAGTCAAGGTCCGAAATAAATTCATGAAAAAAACATCTTTTTTCACGAATTTCTTTTCGGTCTATACTGCACATAAAAAATGCACATACAAATTTCGGACCAGTTTGAAGAGAATCGCAAATTCTCCGAGTTACACATGAAAAAAGAGAGAAAAATGCTCCTTTTTACTTTACTATATTTTTTTTTACATTTTATTGTTCTAACAATTATGCACAAGTTTTTCAGCGGGCATGTATTAATTAGTATCATTTTACATAATATTTAGAACTATTTCCATAAAAAAAAGTTACTATATGAAACATCAATACAACCTACTTTTAAAACATAACGACTGGACTATTAAGGCAAACAATAATTCTAGTTCTACTTCTGATTTAATCTTCTTTAAAAAATGCATTGTTATTGATATTACTATATTTTAAGAGAATTAGAAATGCTTTGTTGTTATTATTTTATGTTATGAAAAAATATCTTAATTGTTAATTTTATTGGAAAACTTTAAATGGTATTGGCTAAATTTAACATATTAATAAATAATAAAATATCAATTCGTATACAGATATGCTCAGAAAATATTTTTAATACGACCAACAAAACTTGATGTTAATTTCAAGCTTTCTTTGCAAACGTAATCAAAAAACATCTAAGTGGTAGCTAAAATATTTTGGAATTAAGATATCTAATATCTATAATGAAAACATTTTGCTTGCTGTAATATGTATAAGTAGGTAACGATAACGTAATCTTGATTAGAAAATTATCAATGTTTTCCATAATATTATCTAATACAGCCTTGGTACTTCAATTAAAATTGCGAAAAATTACGTGTCAAAATATTGTTGATCATTGGATAAGTATTCAAATCTTATTAGAGATTATCTTGGAAATACAAATTGGATGGTGAAAAGAATTGCGTAAACAAACATTTACTGTATAATATACAAATATATTTATCAGAACACAAATATATATACAGGGTATTTCAGGATTAAGTCGACAAACTTTAAGGAGATATTTCTCATAAAAAATAAGAAAAAAATCAAGTATAATTTTTTTCCAGAGACGCTTCATTTTCGAAATATAGGGCATAAAAATTTTTTAAAAAATTCGAATTTTTTAAATAACTTCTAAATGAAGAAGGCTATTTAAGCCAAATTTGGCATGACACATCTTCTTATACCATTTTTCCATAGAAGTAGAAGTCCCGTAAGCAACCAGTGGCTGAGTTATGGGGACTCAGACTCATTAAATTATAAAACAAATTAATACGGCCCTACTGAAAATAAAAAATGACGCTGTTTTTAGATAGAACAGTTTGTTATTGACAAAAAGTGTACATTCACTTTTTTTCCTAACTCTTATAGTTTCATGGCAAAATTGATTTTTCGGAAGGGTGCTTCTGGATTCTGTCGATAAACTTTAGGAAGACGTTCCTCATAAAACCTAAAAAAATATAAAAATATAGGCAACATTT